GTACTGGACTGGTACCTGGTGGAGTAGGACCTGGAGGTCTTCTACCTGGTGGAGTAGGACCTGGAGGTCTATTTCCTGGTGGAGTAGGACCAGCTGGTGTCGGAATTGGTGGACTAGGACCTGGTGGACTACTGCCTGGTGGAGTAGGACCAGGTGGAGTAAGACCTGGTGGACTGATTCCTGGTGGAGTTGGAGCTGGTGGTCTAGGTGGCCTGGGACTTGGAGCAGGTACATGTGGTCATTATGAATACTAGGTAGTACTTAAGAAAAAGAATAACTGACACATTTACAGAGAGATAATGAGAGAATGACACTGCATTGTATTCATCACTGATAATTTGATGATTTTTCCTACAGGGGTTGGTCTTAAACCTGGCAAGACAGGTGAGCTATTTCATCATTTGAGTCCTATCTTCTTCTCCTCTCTCAGAATCTATCATAGAGTTTAATGTGTGCCTTATATTTTGTGTGGTTGGAAATGGGGCCTAAGGTGTAGGTACTGGATTGGTACCTGGTGGACTAGGACCTGGTGGAGTTTTGCCTGGCGGAGTAGGACCAGCTAGTGTCGGAATTGGTGGACTAGGACCTGGTGGACTAGTGCCTGGAGGATTAGGACCTGGTGGACTCATTCCTGGAGGAATTGGCACTGGTGGCCCAGGAGGCCTGGGGCTGGGACCAGGTACATATACTCATTGCACATACCAGGCAGCACTCAGAAGAAAGAGTCACAGGGAAAATGATAGACTGAGAAGGAATACAATTTTATTGTAATTTCCAATGATAATGTTTTGCTATTTCCAACAGGTGTTGGTGGCAAGCCTGGCAAGACAGGCGAGTTATTATCTGAGTTCTGCAACCTTATTGTCTCCGAGAGACTATCATAGAGATTTCTGTCTGTTTTTTAGCATTGTGTCATTGGGTTTGGGTCCAAGGTGTTCGTACAAGAGTGATACCTGGTGGATTAGATCCAAGTGGATTAGGAGCTTGTGAAGTAGCAAAAACTTCACACATCTCCAAGATAGTGGACAGGATTCTTTTCTGCTCTCCATGGGAGTTGCTCTGCTGCAGCCACCCACAGGTAGGCTGCACGCATAAGAAAGCGGATGGAGGAAAGCCTTTGGGAGCATTAACATTGGCGGGGAACCATTGGGGTCTACCCTGTTGGGTATTGGAATTGGTGTGCTGCTGAGGGTCGCTCGCTGCATGGCAGCACTTAGGACTTAATTTGCGGCAGCCCATCTGGGTAAACACGTCTTTCCCCTGCATTTTAATGGCAGCACACTCTGAGGTACACAGACCGGGGAATAGCCAGATCTCTGTAGATGGTTATACCTATTATTGGTCTGGTCCCTTTAATGGCTGCCATACTCAGGGAGTAGCTGTTGCTGTATCGACATCACTAATTTTAGTGAGACTCAGATTACAGTAAGTCACTCTCTGGATATCTTGTCTGTTGTCTCAGTGTATGCTCCAACTGCAATGAGTGATATCTCAGTGAGGGAAACATTTTATTCACAGTTTTGCTCAGTGGTTGATCAGTGCCCAGGACACTCCTCTGATCATGGTTGACTTCACTGTGACCACTGGCACTGACAAGGTTTGCTATGAGGACTGTGTCGGTTCCCACAGGTCTGGTGACCATGGTGAAAGTGACTCCATGTTCCTAGACTTTGTAAAATGTCAGGGTCTGCAGGTCACTGGATCCTGGTCACAGCGTGCTGAGCTGCATCATTGGACTACAACACTTGTGGTTCCACTAAAGACCTACACAACTGCAGGGTCTACAAAAGAAGAACTTGCAGTTTTGGGTGCGACTGCTGATCCTAACATGATGTGGGAGACCTTCCATGATAAGACTCCGGAGGTTGCTGAAGGCTGTGTCGGTGTAGCCAGGTGCTTCATCTCACAGGTCACCCTGGATATTAACAAGAGGAGTCACAGTACACGGCTTAATGGCAACTCTGGTCTGTACCGGAAGTACAGTGGTACCTCAGAACTCAAATTTAATCCGTTCAGAACTCTGGACCGAATCCTAAAAAGTTTGAGTTCTGATCGAATTTTCGCCAATTAATGGAAAACCAATTAATTGGTT